TTAAAATTTAACGAGCTAGCTCGAAGATCTACTGGCACGTGTGCTCTGAGAAAATAAAAAACAAAAAAACAAGCAAACCCAGAGATGAAAGTGCAAAAGTCAAACTAAATAAACAGCAGTCGGAGAACCTGAGCATTCGGGCAGCCCGAATCGAGATCGGCATTGCAGATATAAATCAAACCAGGAGACTAGCAGTGCAGAGCGATAATATGGACCAGCACACAAAGAGGAAGAAGGCGCCGAACAAGATCAACAAGATCAACCCTTCGGTGCAAACAATTTGATCTCGGGCATTAAAAAGCAAACAAAACAGCCCAAAACCAAACCCGATTTCAATGATAGCCCGAAAGGCACAAGGATGATGATGACGACGACGATGGTGCTGATGCTGATGCTGAGTGCCCTAATTTGTCGAGCTAACTCCATTTCGAGCCTAAATGGGTTAAAGAGCCGAACGAACCGCACACACGCACACACACACACACTCGCACACTAAATGGTCCACAATGGAAGCGGAGGCTGTTGCACGCGCAGGGTCCCAGACCTTGGCCATAGGGTTCGATCGGGTGCAAGGGTTTTGGTCTCTTTGCGTCTTCTGCTCGCCACGCCTGATCGGCTTAAGTGGCACATTGAAAGGATTACGATATCTTGGCTGCCTCTTTGTTTGTTTTCTATTGCCAGCTACTGTCTCGCAACCCTCTCGCACAAAGGAAAGAAGAGACCTGGATGCTGTCATTGAGAGTATCCTTCTTTTTTTCTTTACCCTCAACTAGCTCTTGAATGCTCATTGAGTTTTACGCAGCCGAATGAGACGATTAGCATAGCAATCCGATTGTGAGGATCTGCAATTGTGGCCATTGTCTATAAGGTTTTTAACACTCTCCCCGAGGGTTGTTGCCGCTGTTGTGGGCGTGTGAGACAAGTTGCCCTTTCTCCTCCCTCAGTCAACGCGACTCGAACCACGCTCAACGGGGCGCTACGTAGCATCAGCCCTTGCCAATTGTCACTATCTCTCTGGCCTATTAGACGAGCACTTGTCACGTTGTGCGAGTGTGTGAGTGAGCGCATGTGTGTGTGTGTGTGTATGTGTGTGTGAATTTCGAGTGCCATTGAAAAGGCGTTGAAGCGCGCAATTTTACGTGTTATTTTCGCTAAATTGCACTAATCGCTTAAACTTTCAGCAATGAAATGAACGCAGTGCGGGGGGAAGGTGCTGCAACAGGGGGGCGAGACCGCTTAGCATTCGCTCATTGTCATGACGGCTTATTAAATAAGTACCCATGGCAACGTCGACAACGACAACGGCTTAGAACACATTTCAATTACATATTAAACAGAAATTATATATATATATAAACAGAAAAAGTCTCATCTAAGCTCTTCACTAAGCATTTAAGAACTTTTGATTATGAGCTAATTTTATTATGCTTAAATTTGACGCACTCACGGTGAATCATGAAGTATTTGAATAAGATTTTGAGATAGGACATTTAAATATTTAATAAATTTGAACAGTAAAGTTAACAAAAGAAAAATGTTATAACTTTAAGTAGAGTTTAGCTTAAAAATTAGAAAAATCATGAATATTTTTAATGGCAAATAAATTTGAATAGTCTTTTAAAATTATTAAATAAATTAAGACAATTTGAAAGCATGTAGATATTTTTATACTTTTTTTTTTAAATATAAATACATTTATATATTTTTTACCCATTGTATATTTTATTGAATTGATATTCATATTGCAATTTGTGCAGATTCGAATGTAAAATAAAATAAAATGAAAAAACTTTCCAGACAAGCAAAATAATTCATGTGATACAGAGGGAGCCAGAATATGCAGAGATCTGAGACTTAGTATATAAATATATGCTATATACCAGCTGTATATTCATATGCATATATACATATTTATAGGTATATATATTTATGTATTGCTGGCAGCCATTCAAGTGTTGTTGCTGCTGTTGCTGCAGACAGTTTGTTGATAAGAAGCATTTTGTTTCTCTTGAGCAACTGATAAGCCCCATTAAAAACGAACGCTGGACCGAGGTCGATTGACCTGCTTTTAAGCGTCGACTTGTGCGCGTCCGTTTTCCATCAAAAGTGCTCTCCAGCTGCCACGCCCCACCCCCTACACCCTATCCGACAGCCGAGCATGTTTTGTTGTTTATGACAGCCCGTCAATTGTCTGTCTACAAATGTAAACAAAATTGCATAGAAAATGAAATGTTCAACCGAAATGCGTCCGCTCATAATTAGCAGCTAAATAGCACTCAAAGAAAGCTCAAACTATAATATAGAGTAAGTACATGTATGCATATGCATGTGCGTATGTCAGATTCTCTGCCTTATCAGCGCGCTTTATTCATAATAATCGCAAATGGTTTATATAAGTCGCATAGATAGTAACGGCAAGTGTGATTGTTGTTGCTTTTGAGTTGTTTTTCCTGCCATGCCTCGATTAACTCGACTCTTCAAGTATCGCTCTATAAGTATAGCTGATGCTGTTGCTGTTCCATGCTGAACTTTTGGTCCTGATCTGTATGCAGCAAATGCCGATCTTTGGTGACATCAATTTTTAGGGTGAACAATTTCAATTAGGTTTACGCTGAACCGCGATTGAGATTAAAGACGCCAAAGAGCGCCGTCCAGCAGCTGCTTAGTTGAGCATGAACAGCAGCAAATCGATTGCCAAGTCGAGAATTTGCCATTGATAATTGCAATTGTTGTGCACGTTAATCAGGCAAACTATAGACGTGCAATTATTTATACATAGACTAATACTCTAACTAAATATTAAATTTGTCACACATAGCAAAGTATGAAATAACAAGTTGAATGAGATTTAAAAACTCTTTACTTATTTTAAATACATCTTTAGCCTGTGCTGATATATCGAACTAGACTTCTTCCTTCCAACATTATTTTTCTCTCTGTGCAGCTGTTTTAGATGCCTATTAGCACCTACTATAGGTTTGAGAGCAACTTTTCGCAGAGTGTAGCTGCGGGTTTCGCCAGTGTCCCACGCTGTGCAACAATGGCGCTCATTTTGAGTGGCTCGAACAATAGATACATATTCATATTAGATGCACATTAGCTGCCGCCAAACAGCCCTCCCTCGCCTCGCACTCAGGAGCGGCTGCTGCAGGAGCCGCACGATCCCACGAGACCCAGCTCCGAACCCAAAATGCAAACAAAGGTTGCTTTTTGTCTGCGGCAGTTGAGGCATAGATGGATGGCTAGCTGGATGCTGCGCTCGCTGCTCTTCTCGTTGGCCAACCGCAAATTGTCGCCAAGGAAGCTGTAAATGTTGTCTAACATGCACCCTCGCTGTCCCACACACACACACTCACACACACTCTCGCACAGCTAACAAGATGCAAACTCTGTGATACAATGGGCTCGGGCTGGCCACAAAAATACCGTTTAATGAGCACAGCTTGAGGACTCCGTAGATCTTGTCAAAGGATATTGATATTAGCCGGCTGCCCATTATCTTGAAAATCTTTTCCTTAAGCCATTTCGGCAATAATTCTTCGTACTTTATGTGCCGCTCGCTCTCTCTCCCCCTCTCTTTTTTGTTTGACCGCAAGCTGTCCGTGTCGGGCGTTTCGATTGAATTACCGTTTCCTTCCGCTTTTCTAAGTCACATAAAATCTAAATAGTTTTGGGACACTCAGCAGAAGGCCCAAACAAAAAATGCAGCGCTGGCAAGGCTCAAAACGGACTGGTTACGATTCGATTAGATGATGTTGGATTGGTTTGGCATTCTAGATTCTATTGAAATGTGAACCAAAAACTACTGAATATGCAAAAATTTGATTAGCTTGAGAGCCGTTACAGTAAAAGGAACTAAAAAGGAAAATAATCGGCCAATTGAGAATACAGAAATCATGTAGAGAAGGAGAAATCTAAATTTGAAGAAATATTAATATATGTAAATTACGAGAAAAATATTATAAATTAAAAATCGAAATAATTATTTAACAATTCATTCATTTTCTTTCATTTTATATTTTTTTGAATGCAACAGAAACAACTTAGATTGCTAGACCAATAAGCTTTATTTTATGAAGTGTAGTGTAGCGAGTGAAGCTTAGCCTCATTTTTTGCACTTTTTCTGCATGCCTTGCCAGACAAAAGGCGTAAAAGGATAATGCTTAGGACACTCGAGACTCATCATCTGTGCACTTCACATGGATGCATAATTTCATATGCTATAACAAAGCCAATTGCTCTCAAGCCAGCTTAAAGATGCATCCATTAAATGAATAAAACGTTATAAATGGATAATTCAATATTTATACAGAATAAATGGGAAACCAAAGAGAATAAAGCTAGTGATAAAATTTAAATATACATATTTTTAGATTACAATTAAGAAAACTTCTTTCAGAACTACAGTTGATGCACATGGCTATTCTCTTTCAAATTGAGTATAAATGGGGCGTAGCAGGAGGTGATAGATGGCTTGGGAAAGTGAATGCCGAACTGAAGGTTCACATATTGTCAACGTTTTGGTCAGCACCTTTGTAGCTTTTGCTCTCCATTGATCTGGGTCAATTTGTGAAAGATTTCACACCCAAGGCACATCATCGCACATCATTAATTACGGCCCTAATCCGTCAGCATCCATCAACAGCTGAAGCCTTTCGCTCACCTCTCGGTGTCCAGTTGGCAGTGTCCATTGGAATCTGTGCATCATTAGGCGCAACTTTCTCACACTCAGCCAGGACGCAGGATAATAATTAACCATGCCAAAGTAGCGAAACTGACCAGCCAGACCGTTGCATCAGTCAGTCAGAAACTATTATCTCTTTAATAGCCATAAACACACGCGCTGGCCCTGTAAGGGGATACTTTTCATTTCAGATGGATTCCTTTGGCTATTATATACCTGGTTGAATATTTCATAATTTTCTGTCTGCTGTCCAGTTTGCAACCCTTTGGCTTTTCGTCTTTGGTATACTCTTATTCTTATTTTTATTTTTTACACACACACATATCCTTTTTCTTTGCTTAAGCCCTTTGTTTCTCCCGCCATTGTCCGGTTCGGGCACTTTGCATAATCAATAATCCTTGACGCTGGCTCCTTTCGCATTGTCGCATCGGCTGACCAGCGAGCCAACACGTCTGAAAAGATAAATTATGGTTTGTAGTCAAATTGAAGGCAAACAATCCGCACAAAGACGCACATACCGCACGGGAATTGTGCCTCGGCTCAGCCCAGGGATCTCTGGCAGCCAGCACACGGGGTAAGTCAGCAGCAGAGGCAGCTGCCTGCCCAGAGACTGGACACTGGTCAGGCTTGAAGGGGTGGACTGTGGCCCGGAGTGGTCTATTTGTTTTTCCTTCCCATTTGAATTTCTCTATTAATTTTATTACACTCGGCTGTGAAGAAACATAGTCAAAGTTAAGACTTTCTCTAGAGTTAAGCAATGAATAAACTGTTATTATATATTATTGCAGTCACATTATCAAATGGCTTAGTAAATGCTATTTATTTATGGTAATAAATCTCTATAATATATTATTATAGTCAATTATCATAATCGTTATTTTAAATTAATATATGTATTGCTCATCAGATGATAAAGTTAGGATGATTATTTGGCTAAATGAATATTATTTGATAGTTGGTTCAGTTCCATGGTAAATAGGAACTAAGACTTGTTATATTTCCATTCAATTTGATGGTATATGATATGAAAACCTTCACTGATTAACAAGCTCTGTAGAGTATATCATATTATATGCATATATATAATCTACATATCATCCTGTTTACAATAAAATAACCAATATATATATATATTTGTACTTAAGCAAACACTATCCTAAGTATACCAAAGTCTCTACTTCTCGGTGATCAATGGAGTGACCCGTAGTAAAATGCAAACATAATTACAGTTTTATTCAAATGGCCGAGGTCAGTTGACCTTTCGCTATTGCATCTCGTTGACTATTATCTCTGGGGTAACATTTGCTCAAGAAATGGCCGTAAGCAAGGCCTAAGACAAACGAGCAGCTGTGCAAATGTCAAGACGTAAGTGTCAAAATGCTCATTAATAACAGAGTCCTTAACGCGGAATCGAAACCCAGGATGCGATGCGAGGCGATGCGATGCGATGCAGATGCGGCTGTGCTGGAGGATAACGGGAGCTGAGCAAACACATTGGCAGCTAGCAAAAGATGGATCGATGAGAATGCAAAATTGTGAAAGTAGAGAGAGAGCTAAGCCATCAAAGCAACTGGACAATGCGGAAACTTTGTCAAAGGATGTTTGCGCAAGTAAACATTGAGGCAACTATCCACAGGACATGCAGGACAATGTCTCTATGGAACGGTGTTAAATTGAAAAATTATGATAAATAGCATAATAGGAAGTCGCACAACAGCAACAACAACAGCAGCAGCAAGAGCACACATCGCAACACAGCTAACGTCCCACTGTGAGCAGTCGAGTAAGTAATATGCAAAAAGGACATAAATAGACGTCGGGCAGGACGTCTCAGGACATGCGGCAAGGGTTGCGGCTGCAAGACAATCGCGACGAGTCGAGTGTTGAGTGCTGAGTGTTGCTAAAGTGTGCAGCGGCCTATAAAGGAAATCCTTTCGCCACGGGATATCATTTACGCAAACTCCAAGTTTGACCGATCCCCAGCCCTGCCGCATGGCGGGACGTGTGTGTCTCTCTCTCTCTCTCTCTCTGTGTGTGTGTGTGTTGGCACAGCTTTTGTTTATCTATCCGGCAATAGTTCACATAAGCTTATCTCCGTCCTCTGGCAGTCGTGCAAAATGTTTGCGAAAACTTCACCAATTGCCCGGCTGGTCGAGCCGGGGGTTTGCTGCTGGCAGCCGGCAAAGGGTTAAGGGAATGGCTCCATGTTGTTGCCCAGCTTCGCTGCTACTTAAAGGATATTCACAGCTTAGCCGTGTAATGCGTTTGGCGACTGTCCTGTTTGCATTTTATTCGCCAGCGGGCGATAAATGTCACGTAAATTACATGGCCACATTCTCAGCTGCAGCTCGTCTCTCTAAATCGCAATTCCCTATATGCCAAGCGGCTATCAGTAAGTGCATTAATTTACTTTATTGCTCCGCTCGACGCTCATATCCTGCGGCGCGTATGGCATACTGTTTTTTATGTAAAAATTGCTTGACTTGAGATTTAGCTGAGGAGAAAGGGAAAGCTAAATTGGATATAAGGATTTAAATAGAAGAAAGACTCAATTGACTAATATTTGAGTATAAATAATAGAGGTTGGACTTACTTTTCTGTATGTGTTAGTTCTAAGTGCATTAACTATATAAAGTACCCCTAGAATATCTAGTCCAAGTCAGAGTTTATACCCTATCTTAGATTTGTATGCCTAATGAAACTATTAACTGATCTTTAAGGCAGTCTTTACATGATCAACTCCCTCTCTCTATAAATAATCTAGACATCTACATGAAGATGGAGCCACAGCTGAAACTGGAACTGGAGCCGTAGCCCGTTGGCATGTGTCTATCCCCTTCATTTGCCGCCTAATCGCTGTTGACGCGCATAAATTTCAGCTTGCCTGAGGAGGCAATTAATTATAAGGGGTATCTAGTTAGAGAGAAGAGCGGCTGCCTGCATGGCGGGATCACCCTTTTCCGAATTTCCGCGTATTTATTTTGTCAACAAACGGATTAGGCTGCGTGGTAATACGATCGCCCCCGAATGCAGACGCGGGACGACGCTCCCGTCGAAGCCGTAGCGCTGCGCTCTGTGATTCCGTTGAGGTGAGAAATTGATATATCCAAAGTGTTTCGAAATGTTCGAAAATGTTTCAATTGACAACTGTCAAAAGTCGGCGTGTCTGGCCGAGCACAGGTCTAATTTTAGAAGCTGCGTCGCTCAAACTTTCTCAGCAACCACCCCAGGAGCCGGCGGCTCCAATTAAAATTTAATTTTAAAGCAAACACTAATTGCGCTTTTTATTTTCCCTACTCGACCGACTCTATCCACGCCCCTAGCAAACCCCTATTTAAGGTACTGCGCTCGCCCTATTTACAATTGCTTGTTCGCCTCCTCTCCTGCTCGCCTCCTCTCCTGCTCGGCTGTCGCAGGTGGTTCATTTCATGGCGTTGCAGTGGTGCTTGCGTGCCAGGAGCCCAAACACACAGATTTTGTTGTGGCAGTTGAGGCAATTTTATAGTTTACGGATCAAAAGATCACTTCCTGACAGGATGCTTGCAGGCTGCTCCTGCGAGTGGGCTTGTGGGAAAATATTTAGTCCTAGCTCGAAACAAACACTATTTATAGCTGGGCTTTGATATGGGATACGTTGATCATTACCCGATTTGAGTCAGCTATGATTATACTAAAAGTTAACTATGTTAATTATAATTGAACCGCATGACTAGCATTTAGTAACCTCCTTAGAGTGCCGCAGCTCTGATTTGCCCGCTTTCAGCCTGGTCAAGCAGCAGAGCCTGGCACGCGATCAATGTGAACGTATTTACATACAGCTCGGTTTCTGGAAACACTTGTGCTGAAAACCGCAAAACGAGTGCTAGAAGTGCACCCGTTGTCCAGAGTCCGTGCCCATGGCCATGTCCATCTTGTCCCTCAGCGGGACCGCTGAAACCGAACACTGACGGCGGCGGTGCAGGAGTCGGTGCAGGAGGCATATCCTGCCAAGAAGCAGCACTTGACTGCCATTGTTTAGCGTGATTTGTTTGGCTCTCAGTTACGACTGCAATTAGGGCGCACGAAAGGCAAAGCCGCAGCATGTGCCCAGCGCCTGCAGCAGGTAACAGGCAGCAGGTAGCGGTAGCACAAGGTGCAAATCTGATCACGGTTCAGCGGCTCAACCTTTGGCATATGCAACGATTTGCAGCACTTCCTGTGTTTCCATTCAATTGCGACATTTCGCTGAAACTCTAGACCAAATACTAATTAAGCATAAACTGACTAATTCCTTTTGTTGTTCTACTCCACTCCACGCCGTCCCCCCGTCCCCCTCAAAATGTTCTTTAAGAAAAGTGTGGGAAATTCCAGCTAGAAATTCAAATTGGAAATCTGTGTACCGCGTCGCGTTTTCTCGCGGTGTTCAAATTACGCTCATTGCGGAGCAGGCTGCGCACACCCGCGCACCGCTCTGAGGTGCCCCTCGGTGTCCGGGTGGAAAATGCATTTTCCTGCTCGCTTGCTTGTAGCTGAATATCCTTGGGAAAGCCGAGCGCAGCAGTCTTTTCTCTTCATGGAGTCAGCATTGTTTTGTATGTTTCTTGTGCTAGGTAAATATTGAAATATTTTACGTGATTTTGGAGCAGTTGGATTTCCTGGCGACCCGGACACAGGATGTGTTTGCATAGGCAGGTTATACTCGGAACAGGTGTAGGAAGTGAAGTCTTCTGAGCATTTTGATGAGAGATAACTTAAGATGAGAGCAAAAGTAACTAAGAGAGCTTACACATAGATTATATATGAGAACTTGTTGAAGATCTACGATTAGTCCATTTTAGATTTTCCACTATCTGCATAGAATGGGAATGGAATATGTATAGGATAACGGAATGTTGAAAATATTCGACTAAAACTTGCTCGATCGTTCTATCAATATTTTCAACTCGATCTGCGCTCGTTTGGTCCACCTCGGCTCACTTCCCATTTGGTATACCTGACGTCACACCCTCTAACCTCGGTATGGTAAACATGTCAATAAATCATTAGATCTTGCGGCACTTGCATGTCATCCATCCACTCGAGTGTCAATAAAGCAACAGCTACAACAACAACAACAGCATCGACTATGAAATCAATAGCCGGAAAATAGTTGACAAAGCAACCGTAAAACAAACACGCAACCAAAAATCCAACACCGAAAACACCAGAAATCACAAATTAGCTACACGAGTGTGAGAAACGAGCAGAGAGAGAGAGAGAGAGAGAGAGAGAGAGAGAGAGGGAGAGACCGTATTTAAATGAGCAGAGAAACCTCGACACATGGTAGTGTGTAGTGCTCAGAGAACATCTGGAGAGGCATTAAAAAAATAAAATCATATTCCTGTGGAGGATCTACGACAATTTGGCCGTGGAAGATCACAATTTATGGTGGAGACCCAATCGATTCCGAACAGCGCTTAACTATAAACGGGGGAATTCCTGCCCGAAGGCGTGCACTCCCTGCACTCGCTGGAATTTGTTACAGTGCGAGAAAAACAGAAAGAAGAGGAGAGGAAAGCATTTCCGTGAGAAATATGTG